CTTTTTATAAGGGCAGTTAATGACAAAACAAGGGGAAATGGCTTCAAACTGGAAGAGGGGAGGTTTAGATTAGATATGAGGAAGAAATTCTTCACTGTGAGGGTGGTCAGACACTGGAACAGGTTGCCCAGAGAAGTTGTGGATGCCCCCTCCCTGGAAGTGTTTAAGGCCAGGTTGGATGAGGCTCTGAGCAACCTGGTCTAGTGGAAGGTGTCCCTGCTGATGGCAGGAGGGTTGGAACTAGGTGATCTTTAAGGTCCCTTCCAACCCAAACCATTCTATGATTCTAAGTTCTCTTTTGTCATTTGGTAAATGTACAATTATCTCCTTCAGGCCATCACCATCAGTGGTCCTCAGGTTGGAGACTGGAGTTTGGAGACAGAACAATACTCTACCCTCCAGCAGAGCTTGTTCCTTATCAGCAGCTCCCATTCCTTCTAGGTCTCCCTTTTCATTCTTCTTATCAGTCCCCTTGGTCATCAGAGTGGGAGGGTAGGTACAGGAGCCTGCCTTTGTTTGCTTACATGTCTTTGGAGTTGTTTGAGGCATATTTTTAACAAAGTTCTTTTACCACGTGGGCCATGGGGTGGCCCTGTGATGGAGAAAAGCAAAAGTAGAGTTTTTCTAGAGGTACAGACATGGCTTTGCTGCACCCTGCCAGATGTACAGGAGCTGCCTGCTGCTCCTATATCAGCAGCAGGATGCAGAGGAGCTATGCAGAACCTACCTTCCCAATCCATCCCTTAACTTGCTAAAAGGCGTTTTTAACAAAAACCATCAACCAGTGTATACAATATTTCATGTGTGCTATTTTGGTTTTGTTAAATGAAAAGAAATCTAATAAAAAAGAAAGAAAACAATGCACTGCAGGAGAGGCAATTTTCATTGCAAATCAACTATTTGGATCAGTCTGAATAGATATTATGTGAATAGGTGTTCTGCAACAGTCTATCATGCTGGCAGTCTAATAGGGAGCATCAGTTACAATACTGTCATTTAAATGACAGAACTTTATATTTATCTGTCAGAAAAAGAGAAAGTATTAGTCTGCTGAGCTCCTTGCAGCTTTTCATTCTACAGTGTACACTGAATTGCTTGAAACTAAAGCCATGAGGTGGCTGTATCTGGTTCAATTACAATTTTCAAGAAGTCTTCTGCCATTGTTTTTTATTATTGCAGAAATAAATTGCAAACATGCTACACTCCAACCACCAGGAAGGAGGAATACCACCAAATCTGATGGCAGGGTGGGCTTGAACGCTAATTCTTGTTATGGCAGCCTAAACCGCCCACCCCTTATGAAGTGGTCACTTTCATCTGCTCACAGTTTTTGCCTGCCATGTGCAGATGTCTTCCTGGGCTGGGTGTCTTTGGAGGAAAGTGTCAATAAAATATAAGCAGTTTTTCTGAGAAAACAGTAGAAAGTTTGAAAATCATTTCATTGAAAACTTCTACCATACCTTCCATTTGGAGAAACAGAACCATAGAATCCTAGATTTGTTTGGGTTGGAAGGGACCTTTAAAGGTTGTCCGGTCCGACCCCCCTGCAATGAGCAGGGACATCTCTAACTAGAACGGGTTGGCCAGAGCCCCATCCAGACTGACCTTGAATGTTTCAGGGATGGGGCTTCTACCACCTCTCTGGACAACCTGTGTGAGTGTTTCACCACCCTTGTCATAAAAAATTTCTTCCAGTCTAAATCTACCCTCTTTTAGTTTAAAACCATTTCCCCTTGTCCTACCACAACAGGCCCTGCTAAAACATCTGACCCTGGTGACTACAGGCCTGTAAGTCTCACTTCTGTGCCTGGCAAAATTATGGAGAAGATTATTCTGGGATTTATTGAAAACACCTGGAAGACAATGCAGTCATTGGTTCCAGCCAATATGGATTCATAAGAGGAAAGTCGTGCTAGACAAACCTAATTACTTTCTACCACAAGGTTACCCACCTAGTTGACCAAGGGAAGCCAACTGATGTAATCTTTTTGGACTTCAGTAAAGCCAATAATCTGATACAAATTCCCTATGAGTAATGAATAGATTTTATAAAGTCAACAAAGTTAATGACATGCCAAGAACTGTGGCCCAGCTTATGTAAAACATCTCCACCAAAGACCCTGGGACCCTCATATCACTGTTCAGTACATTTGGATGCAATTTAGGTGCAAGTAGCAACAGGACACACAGGTCTAAGCCAGAGACTTGAGAGATATTCACTAAATGTCCAGCACATAGACAGGGTATTGACCTGCTTGCTGGGGTTCCCAGACAGAAACCATCTACCCATAAATTAGAGAGCTGGGCAATCACCAACTGTATGAATTTTAATAAGGGCAAGTGCTGGATTTTGCACCTGGGACGTGGCAACCCTGGACACACACACAGCCTGGGGAATAAGAGGCTGGAGACCAGCCCTGCAGAGAGGGGCCTGGAGGTTCTGGTCAATGGCAAGTTGAATATGAGCCAACAGTGTGTCCTGGCTGCCAAGAGGGCCAACTGTGTCCTGTGGTGCATCAAGCACTGCATTGCGAGCTAGTTGAGGGAGGTGATTGTCCTGCTCTACTCTGCACTGGTGTGGCCTCACCTTGAGTACTGGGTACAGTTTTGGACATCACAGTGTAAGGAGGACATAAAGCTACTGGAGAGTGTCCAGAG